CTACTTTATCCCATTCATGGCCACTTTGGCCCGTTTTGGGCTACTATGACCCGTTCTGGGCTACATTTTTCTGTTTTGGGAAAATTCGTCCTGTTTTGGGCAACTTTGTCAAGTTTTGGGCTACTTTGTCCCCTTTTGGGCTACTTTGGCCGGTTTTGGGCTACTTTTGTCCGTTTTGGGCTACTTCTTTCTGTTGGGCAATTCGTCCCGTTTTGGGCTACTTTATCCCATTTTGGGCTACTTTGGCCTGTTTTGGGCTACTTATTTTTTGTTACGGGCAAATTCGTCCTGTTTTGGGCTACTTTAGCCCATTTTGGGCTACTTCTGTCTGTTTTGGGCAAATTCGTCCCGTTTTAGGCTACTTTTTTCTGTTTTGGGCAAATTTGTCCTGGTTTGGGCTACTTTGGCCTGTTTTGGGCAACTTTTTTTCTGTTTTGGGCTACTTTTTCTCTGTCCCCTTTTGGGCTACTTTGGCTCGTTTTGGGCTACTTTTTTTCTGTTTTGGGCTACTTTGGCCCGTTTTGGGCTACTTTGGTCCATTTTGGGCTACTTTGGCCCGTTTTGGGCTACTGTTTTTCTGTCCCGTTTTGGGTTTCTTTGGCCCGTTTTGGGCTACTTTGGTCCGTTTTGGGCTACTTGGGCCCGTTTTGGCTACTTTTTTTCTGTTTTGGGCAAATTCGTCCCATTTTGGGCTACTTTATCCCGTTTTGGGCTACTGTGTCCCGTTTTGGGCTACTCTTTTCTGTTTTGGGCAAATTCGTCCTGTTTTGAGCTACTTTGTCTCGTTTTGGGCTACTTTATCCCGTTTTGGGCTACTTTGGCCTGTTTTGGGCTACTTTTTTCTGTTTTGGGCAAATTCGTCCCATTTTAGGCTACTTTGTCCCGTTTTGGGCAATTTTATTTGTTTTGGGCAAATTCGTCCCGTTTTAGGCTACTTTGTCCCATTTTGGGCTATTTTATACCATTTATGGCCACTTTGGCCCGTTTTGGGCTACTGTGACCCGTTTTGGGCTACATTTTTCTGTTTTGGGAAAATTCGTCCCGTTGTAGGTACTTTGTCCCATTTTGGGCTACTTTATCCCATTCATGGCCACTTTGGCCCGTTTTGGGCTACTATGACCTGTTTTGGGCTACATTTTTCTGTTTTGGGAAAATTCCTCCTGTTTTGGGCAGAGCATATGCCTGGGGAACACAAGATCACAGGTTCAAGACCAGCTGTTGCAGTCAGTCATCCATCCTAACAGTAGCTCCAATGCATTAGGAAGGGATATAAATATGTTTTATTATTTATATTTCTGATGTGTCAAGTCATGTTTTTGTAAAACTGCAGCAATTTAAAACATCAACGTTGTATGCTGGAAGAGTTGTTGCACAGAGATAGCCAAAACTCACCAAGTTGCCCAAAACTGATAAATACAGATTGACACAGACAATTGCATTTCTTTTAATCATCTTTAACAGTAAATCCTTTTTCTTGTTCACATTCAATTCATTTTAGACAAAAAGGCAGCAACTGAAAGCATCAAGACCCAAAGTCAATGTGGACAAAGTTGCCCAAATTGGAAAAAAGTCACCCAAAACGGGACAAAGTAGCCTAACACGGGACGAATTTGCCCAAACCAGAAAAAAGTCGCCCAAAACAGGACAACGTCACCCAAAACGCGACAAAGTAGCCCAAAACGGGACAAATTTGCCCAAAACAGAAAAATGTCGCCCAAAACGGGACAAAGTAGCCCAAAACAGAAAAAACATGTCTTGAAACATCAGAAATATNTTTGGGCTACTTTGTCCCTTTTTGGGCTACTTTGGCCAGTTTTGGGCTACTTTGGTCCGTTTGGGGCTACTTCTTTCTGTATTGGGTAATTCGTCCCGTTTTGGGCTACTTTGTCCCATTTTGGGCTACTTTGGCCAGTTTTGGGCTACTTTTGTCCGTTTGGGGCTACTTCTTTCTGTATTGGGCTACTTTGTCCCGTTTTGGGCTACATTTTTCTGTTTTGGGCAAATTCGTCCCGTTTTGGGCTACTTTCGCCCGTTTTGGGCTACTTTTTTCTGTTTTGGGCAAATTCGTCCCGTCTTGGGCAAATTCGTCCCGTTTTGGGCTACTTTGGCCCATTTTGGGCTACTTTTTTCTGTATTGGGCAATTCGTCCCGGTTTGGGCTACTTTGTCCCGTTTTGGGCTACTTTATCCCATTTATGGCTACTTTGGCCCGTTTTGGGCTACGTTTTTTCTGTTTTGGGCTACTTTGGCCTGTTTTGGGCTACTTTGGCCCGTTTTGGGCTACTCTGTCCCTTTCTAGGCTACTTTGGCCCGTTTTGGGCTACTTTATCCCATTTTGGGCTACTTTGGCCCGTTTTGGGCTACTTTTTTCTGTTTTGGGCAAATTCGTCCCGTTTTGGGCTACTTTTTTCTGTATTGGGCTACTTTATCCCATTTTGGGCTACTTTGTCCCGTTTTGAACTACTTTATCCCATTTTGAGCTACTTCGGCCCGTTTTGGGCTACTTTTTTTTGTATTGGGCTACTTTATCCCATTTTGGGCTACTTTGGTCCGTTTTAGGCTACTTTTTTTTTTTTTGGGCAAATTCGTCCCGTTTTGGGCTACTTTATCCCATTTATGGCTACTGTTTTCTGTTTTGGGCAACTTCGTCCCGTTTTGGGCTACTTTGTGCTGTTTGGGGCTACTTTTTCCCATTTTGGGCTACTTTGGCTCGTTCTGGGCTACTTTTTTTCTGTTTTGGGAAAATTCGTCTCATTTTGGGCTACTTTGTGCTGTTTGGGGCTACTTTATCCCATTTTGGGCTACTTTGGCTCGTTTTGGGCTACTCTGTCCCGTTCTGGGCTACTTTGTCCCGTTTTGGACTATTTTATCCCTTTTTGGGCTACTTTGGCCTGTTTTTGGCGACTTTTTTTTTCCGTTTTGGGCTACTCTGTCCCGTTATGGGTGACTCTGTTCCGTTTTGGGTGATTTTTTTCTGTTTTGTGCAAAAGGGTAAAGTTCCAGGGATAGAGGGGGTGAATGTGGAGCTATTTATCCCACAGAGAGTGCTCCAATCCTGCGTAAATATCCAGGGATAGAATGGGTGAATATGGAGCTATTTATCCCACAGAGAGTGCTCCAATCTTGTGTAAAGATCCAGGGATAGAGGGGGTGAATGAAGTTGCCCAAAATGTAAAAAGTTGCCCAAAATGGAAATCCAGACTGGACGGGCAGAAAGTAGCCCGAAAAGGAGAAGTTGCCCAAATAGGAGTGGGCGGGGCAAAGTGACATCATCACCAGAATAGCAGTGCCTTATAGTGTAGTGGACTGACAGGGAGGGTTGGAGGAAATACTAGAGTGGATAGAGCATATGCCTGGGGAACACAAGATCACAGGTTCAAGACCAGCTGTTGCAGTCAGTCATCCATCCTAACAGTAGCTCCAATGCATTAGGAAGGGATATAAATATGTTTTATTATTTATATTTCTGATGTGTCAAGTCATGTTTTTGTAAAACTGCAGCAATTTAAAACATCAACGTTGTATGCTGGAAGAGTTGTTGCACAGAGATAGCCAAAACTCACCAAGTTGCCCAAAACTGATAAATACAGATTGACACAGACAATTGCATTTCTTTTAATCATCTTTAACAGTAAATCCTTTTTCTTGTTCACATTCAATTCATTTTAGACAAAAAGGCAGCAACTGAAAGCATCAAGACCCAAAGTCAATGTGGACAAAGTTGCCCAAATTGGAAAAAAGTCACCCAAAACGGGACAAAGTAGCCTAACACGGGACGAATTTGCCCAAACCAGAAAAAAGTCGCCCAAAACAGGACAACGTCACCCAAAACGCGACAAAGTAGCCCAAAACGGGACAAATTTGCCCAAAACAGAAAAATGTCGCCCAAAACGGGACAAAGTAGCCCAAAACAGAAAAAACATGTCTTGAAACATCAGAAATATGAATAATAAATCATGTTTATATCCCTTCCTAATACATTGGAGCTACTGTTAGGTTGGGTTACTGACTGCACCAGCCGTTCTTGAACCTGTGATCTTGTCTTCCCCAGGCATATAGCATATGCCTGGGAAACACAAGATTACACAGAGATGGCCAAGATTACACAGAGATGGCCAACACAAGATTACACCAAGTTGCCCAAAAATGATGAATACAGATTGACACAGAAGATTGCGTATGTTTTAATCATATTTACCAGGAAATCATTTCTCTTATTCATATTCAATTCATTTTAGTTGCCCCTTAATGGAGTGGGAAGGATCATCTCTAAAGTTACCCAAAATTAAAAAGTTGCCCAAAATGGAAATCCAAATGCAACTGTGAGAAAGTTGCCCAAAATGGAAAAAAAGTTGCCCAAAATGGGAAAAAAAAAGTGTCCCAAGATGGAAATCCAAATTTGATTGTGAGAGAGCTGCCTAAATGGGAAAACTTGGCCAAAAATGACCTGTAAGTGGTAGCTGGCTATGGTACCAGGGCCACTGAGGGACATCCATATCCTTTGGGGATGAAGTGTCCCAAAATGGCAAAGTAGCCAATCACGGAGTGGGAGGGGTCACCTGGATACGCCCCCTCACAGTACCGGGGCCAATGAGGAAGATCCAAAGTAAATGGGGATGAAGTTACCCAAAATGAAGAAGTTGCCCTGAGCTGAGTGGGAGGGGTCACCCAGGCACGCCCCCTCACGGCTTCGGAGTCAATGGGGACAATTTGTTTCTCCATGGGGTTGAAGTTGCCCAAAAAGGATGTAGTTGCCTTTAACGGAGTGGGAGGGGTCACCCAGGCACGACCCCTCACGGCTTCGGAGCCAATCGGGACGAATCGTTTCTCGATGGGGTTGAAGATGTCCAAAACGGATGTAGTTGTCCGAAATGGAGTGGGAGGGGCCATCTGGGCACACCCCCTCGCGTTACCGAAGCCATTGGGGATGAAGTTGCCCAAAAGGGAGCGGGTTGCACAAACCGGAGTGGGAGGAGTCACCCGGGGGTGGGAGTCACCCGGATGCAACCCCTGGCCAATAGGGGAGACCCTGGGATGGAGGTCGCCCGAAAGGGAAGAGGGTGGCCCCGAGCGGGCCTGGCGATCGGGCGCCACTCTGTGGCGATGGCGGAACAGCGGTCGCCAAGCTGGGACCGGGTGCCCCTTTCGGGGTTGCCCTTTCCGCGCGGGTTCGGCAGTAGCTCAGTCCATAGGGACTTGGGTTGGGAACCAGAGGATCGCCTGTTCGAGTCCCCGTCCGGACCAAATATGGAGCGTGGACTGGTGGCTGGAGAGGTGCCAGTTCACCTCCTGGGCACTGCCGAGGTGCCCTTGAGCAAGGCAACGAACCCCCCAACCGCTCAGGGCGCCTGACCAAAGGGCAGCCCCCTAACTCTGACAACTTTCCACTTTGTGCATGTATAGGTCCTGTTTGTGCATGTGTGTGTCTTTCAGACCTGTGTGTTGACAAGCAAGAGTGAAAACATTGAATTTCCGCTC